GCACGGCGTGCACAGGGGCTCCTCCAGCACCTGGCCGCACAGCTTGCACTCGAAATCCGGGTCCACGGCTTCGGCGAAGCGCTCCAGGGCAAAGCCCATGGTAGGGATGAGGGAGAAGGGGGAGTGCGAACGCGGAGGCCACTTTCTCCGAGCCCCCAGTCTCTCCTGCGCTTCCCCTGGGACAGCGCTCCCGCTCGTGGTGGGGGAGGAGGAGAAGGGTGAGGGGTTGTGATCTCAGAGTTTGTTTGGCTGGAAGTTTTCTGGCTGCGACTAGGTCCCCTGATTCGGCCGTATTGACACGAATAGACGCTACCTCCAGTTGGACCCCCCTCCCTCCCTCCACCCTCGCCCACGCCTTCGCTGCTGTGCAATTTATATTCTTTCAAATTTTGTCCGCCGTGTTCTGAGGCCAGTTTACAATGGTTCTTAGGAAAGCTGTGTTCGCCTTTGCCTGGACGGGGAACTTCAAGCAGTCCACGGGCAGAGCGGGTAATGGGCACAGCGCGGGTGTGAGAAATAACTCTTCATTCCACCAGAATGGAAGCTCCGCGAGAGCAGGATCTTCGTCCGGCTTTCCGCTGAATCCACATCACCATACATTAAGGCGTTCTTCAATAAATGGGTTACACTTCTGTTCTTTCAAATCAGTCAACTACAAAAGCATGAGCTAAGTGGCTGGGACCGAAGGAAATCACTATGAGGTATCTCAGAGCCAGGCTTCTCAAATCACGATCCAGAAAGCAGGTGAGTGTAGCAGGGCGGGAGGATGAGTGACAGCAAAGACCGGGAAAGGGCCAGGTGCTCACCTGAGGACAACTCCCTCTGAGGGAGAACTTGAACCGCCACTCAGGGCCTCCTACCGTGTGAGGACGCTAGGATTGTGTTACCGGCAGTGTGACTCCCGGTTCAATCCGCACACCATCCATCTTCGACTTTTACCACTGGGAATGAGAATGTGATCATTTGGGCACCTGGAAAGGAGAATTAAAGGAAAGGATTATGAAAGAAAGCAGTGGAATAACAGAAATAAAATCTTAATGTACCGCGTCCCTCTACTTACCGTGAATGTACAGTTTAGATGCAAACTGCCCCTTCCTCCAGTTTGACTTAGAGCAACCAGGTCTTATGAAAACATGCAGTATGGGGTCCTTCCCTCCTGCCCCAGGGTCCTTTGCCATCTTCTGAACCTTAGGAAAGCAAAGCAAGCCTGTCACCTGGATACACACCCCTTACTGCCCTTTTCTGAAGCTACTCCCACATACCTAGGATGCACTTCCTAAATTAGTCATGATGGTTCCTCATTGTTCCCAGAAAACCATGTATTTTTGCATAGCCCCAAAATGTAACAGTGGCAACACATGAAAGAGGCTCCAGACTTTGTCCTTTAAATCCTTGGCACTAACTGAAGAATTAGCAAAGGCTAATAAAGGAGGCTAGTAAGAACCTTCTGAGCCTTTTTTGGTGTTTGAAAGAGGGTTTCATTAGAGTGGTTGAATAGCAAGTGACGATCCTGGGGTGGGTAGCCAGATACTCAATGTGCTTTTAAAGTGGTTTCAAAATAAGATGCTCTGTTTCGCATTTTATACATATAGATATTTGATAAAGTAACATTTGCCACAATGCTCTAAAGTACCCCCTCCCCTTGGCCAAGTAAATTTAGAATAAATTCCTGAGTAAATAAGAAGTCATTTAACATTAACAGCTTGAACTTATTCTTGTGAACTGCATAAACCAGGAAATGCAGAATGTTACAGAATTTATTCAAATCATTCTGGGCCACAGGTATCTATTCCCTCTTTTTTAAGCTATTGAAAAAGCTATGATTTATAGCTATGACTTTATAGGTAGGACTTGACATTTATTGTTTCACAATAAAAACAGTGGCAGTACACATTTTTAAAAACAGAAAGAAAAGAGATGGAATCTAAAAATGTTCTAGTGGTGAGGTATTAGGAAAATTAGACTTGCAGTTACTTGAAAAGAAAAAAAAATGAAACAGTGGTTACATGATGTCCTTGGTCCACCCTTGCAATTCTTGTAGCAAAAGTTAGGAATGTGAGCAGATTATGGGATGAGTGATTCCAGGATGTATAACATTTTGATGGTTAAAGAAAAGATGGAAGTCCAAAACCTTTGTCCACAGAGAATAACAAATTCAAAAATGAGAACATGTGAAGTGAAGCCAAGTAATGAAGTAGGCCAAAAGGGAGCGTAGGGAAATCTTTCCCTTAGAGAAAATGAAAGGTTGAGTACTTCCCAGAGTTAAATACCAGGAGGAAAACATTACAAGAGTTGAACGTGTAGGAAATGGACGTACTAAATGAACCTCATGGTCTCTGTTCATCTGAAAATGTAGTGGCATAAAAAATCTATGACAGCAGTTGAGTCAAATAGTCGGGTTTCACTTCTCAGACTAGAAAATATTATTCTATATATAAAGGAAAATTGTAATAGCCAGGAAAAGCTTGGTTTTGCTAGAAACATGGAGCCTAATTAGATTGAGGTAATTAGCTGAGGTAAACAATGGAAACACTTGGAATAAGTTTCAAATCTGCATAAATATTTCAGCAAAAGAGATCCAGTAATATTTAAATATCTTTTGGCCAGTGAGACAAATGAGTGCCTTGGATCGTTAGTCGTTAGCTTGAGCATATCTTTCTGTTTTTTGCTGATCATTATTTTCTTTTAAGAATGCCTGGTTACTGAAATTTGCAGGCTGAATAGCATCGCTCGAGGAGGGGCTGAAAGATAAGATGCTGTCTTCCTTCTTGTCTAGCTGCCGTGCTGGCTGTGGCCAAGACCAGGCCTGTCTCCTTCCTCATAAGCTTTCATTCAGACTGAACTTGAGATTATGCGTGGCCAACTGAGAGACAACGGAAAGACATAAATGTGTTCGTTCCTCCCAGCCAAAGATCCTGGCTTGACTCAAAATATCTTTAACTAGTCAGTGTTTGGTGGATATTTTCAGTTTGGGAGCTAGTTTTTGCTTCAGTTCACTGTCAGGGGTCTTTATTCATGAAAACAGATTTAAAAAATCAACTTGATATATCCTTTGGGCCAATTCCTAGAGCAGTGATGAAACTTGAGTATGCCTGTGGGTGTTTCCAGTGAGAAGAGGCAGGGTTCCAAGTCGGTTCTGAGTCATCGCTACTTCCAAGGATGAATAGGGAATCAGAGAGTTACTTATCGTTGAGTCAAATGCTAAAGGACCTAATACTGAAATACTATATTCCAAGACTCAGAGATGATGAATGGAGATGAAAAAGGAGGAAGGGGTCATTTTTTTCCCACCCCATGCATAGATAATACTTTCAGCCAACTCATTTGTGATTTTTGTCATGTTGCCTCTTGCATTTGATTAAGAATCATATGAGGAAGTGAGCTTGAGGAATAAATTCCTGAATAAATAAGAAATCGTTTAATGTTAAGATCTTGAACTTACTCTTGTGAACTGCATAAACCAGGAAAAGAAGAATGTTATAGAATTTATTCAAATCATTTTTCAAAGAAAAATCTAAATCATTTCTTTATTTCCTATATGTTCATGTAGCACAATTTGGTACTTTTAAAGTATAAGTAATTTTTAAATCTACTATAAGAACTTGAAATCTCATCATTTATATTTTCTTTTCTCTGATTTCCTGATCATTTATCATGAATTAGTATTTTATGGTCTATAATCAGATTTTTCTCAAAGTGCCCTGAATTTAAGCTGCAACCATTTAAGATTACTCTGACAGTTAAGACAAAAATACCCAGCTGCTTCAGGTCAAACTAGTGCTTATGGAATATATTTTTTTCTGTATTGTTGAAATTAACATTCATTTTTGTTCTTAGCGTGATAGTTTTTGCATCATAAGCCAGGGTCAGAATTGTACCTAGTAGCATAAATAAATGTTTATAAAGCATAAGATAATAAGAAGTCAACTTGAGACCGCTTAAAAATTCCAAATTTGACAAAAACAATTTTATCTGTTTTCATGAATAAAGACTCATTGTTACTTTAAAACAATTTAAAGTTGAGTTTTTGAAAGTTCGTTAAAAGCAAGGCAGGTATTTTTGCAAGATATGCTGAAAACATATTATGCCAGGGAAGAGACACTTAGGGATCTATGTTTAACTCTGGAAAATAGAGAGTTGGTTACACCCAGAGAACAGACAGCAGTTTCAGTCCTTATAATCCCTGTCTTTTGATGTGTAGTACATAAGGAGTTACTTGCTATTATCTTGCTTTTCGACTGTCTTTGGCAAAATGAAGAGAGGGCATCATGACAATACAGCATGCTGTTTTTAAGAGGAATAAAATGATATTGTAATAGAAAAGAACAAATCTGACTCCATATTAGATCTGTTCTTTGGCTTTAACCCTGTGCCCTGTTTTCTAGGTTTAGTCTTGCTAGCTCTGCACCTTTTGTAAAAGAGTGTCACCTTTAGCCTGAAATATACAGGAGAGCCTATTCTCAAGGCTCTGATCTTT